ACAAATTCGCGTTGCGATAGTCATATTCGTGTTGCGATAGTCAAATTCGCGTTGCGATTTTTGAGTTGCGATAGTCAAATTCGCGATGCGATATTCAAATGAATGTGTAATAAGTGATAACAACTGAACATATCATAGCAATGTTCAAACTCAAGTTACTAATACATGCATAACTGAAAATGTTAAAAGTTTACACATAAAATACACATAATAGTCAAATTCGCGTTGCGATATTCAAATGAACGTGTAATAAGTGATAACAACTGAACAAATCATAACAATGTTCAAACTCAAGTTACTAATACATGCCTAACTGAAAATGTTAAAAGTTTACACATAATACAATGTTTGCATTTAAAAATCACCTAAGTTAATAGTCCCAAAAGGTGAAGCCGGTTGTGATTGGGATTGCGATTTTGATTGTGATTTTGATTGCCTTTTTCTTGACACCATATGAGCTTTAGATTTTGATGAGGATCCATATTTTGATAGAGGAAAAGATGATTGTGATGGCACTGGTGATCCACATGTCAACCTTGTATGACCACTTTCCTTACACCGACTACATGTCGATCTCTTCTTCTCTTCACCCTTAGACGGTATACGATCGTGACTTTTTGATCGGCCAGGTAGCCTTCTGTCCAAGGCTGGTGGCAAAATTGTTTATAAGTCATCTGGTATGTCCCACTCAAAAGGATGTGGAATAGGGTAGATAATCTCGGCATAAGTCTGTCGATATACTTCTGTAATGTAGCAATCCATAGCGTATGCGCTTGAATCATCTTGGTTTAGATGAAGAGAAACTTTTATAACATGCCCACACGAATAACCAGATGTTTGTCATTTCATACAACTACACGTCTTTGCATTTAGATCGACAAGCCCATTTAAGTTATTATCCAGTACTTCAAACAAAGTGTTTGAACATGGTTCAACTCTCCATGACGTTGACTTCACAACACGTTTCGTTATCTTTTTTTCAGTCCATGGTGTAACACGATGTTCCAATGTTCCTGTAAATTTAAATAAATAATACTTAGTAAAATATATGATAAGTTACGAATTTAAAGAAATAATACATGTATGGTTTCTTTTCTTGTAGTACCACTGTTGAGTAGAGGCTCGAAAAAACTCCATTAACATAGTAATGGGTAATTTCCGGGAATGACGACTTAGAGCGTTGATTGATTCTGCACTATTAGACGTCATGAAACCATATCTTGCTCCAAGTTGATGTACTCTTGACCATCTTTCAAACCCGACATCTTCTAGTGTTTGAGCACACTGAGGCAAAACACGTCTTAAACAATTTTTATACTTATTAAAATCCACTTCCCGATAAGCTTTTACAGCCTTCCAGTATGTCAATTTGTGATTTTTTATACCAGTAAACCTTGATTTTAGATTTCTATATAAACGAACACTACAAAGTCCATGAAAAGCATATGGGAAACACCTTCTAACAGCGTTGTCAATTGAGTTTGCCCTATCGGATATGATTGTCAGATTGCTAATAGGACCTATGCAATCCTTAAGATGCCCCATAAACCATGTCCATGAATCAAAGGTTTTAGATTTGCCAACCCCGTAAGCTATTGGCGGTATCCCATTGTTAGCATCCATGGCTACTGCTAATAAGTTTACTCTAAGGTATCGACCTTTTAAATGTGCTCCGTCAACTATAATAACTGGGTGCATGCAAGTAATAAACGAACGAATCTACAAAATCATATACACAAGAAATATAATCATTTAAATGTGAAATGCATGTAACTAACAAAAATGAGTCAACAAAATTATATTGATTTACTAACCGCAGCACCAATGGCGATAAACAGCAACTCAAAGCGTCCATCTCTATCTGTTTTGATATGAGTTACCGACCCAGGATTTTTCAACTTTAAATTGTGACAATAAGCCGGCAGTTGGGCAAACGATGCTTCTGGCGACCCCCTCAACAATTTCAAGGTATAACATTTGGCTCTCCAAGCTTGAGAATATGAGATACTAATCTTGAACCGAGCATTCATGTCAGTCATAATTTCATGTCCCCGATATACCCTGCCATTCAAAAACATTAACTCAGCCAGAAAACCACCCAACACCTTTTTGTTTGCCTGCTATGGTGAGGAAAAACTTGGGTTCTTGAACATGTATGTTTATCAATAAAAGTCCTAACTTGAAATATTTCACAATCTTTTATCCTCTTTGCAATCATATGCCACGTACAGTTTTTGTCAATCATACATCTTGTTTCGAAACGATATTTGCTTGATTTGTTAACTTTTAGTTGATAGCCATCTTCCACACATTTCGTATACAAAGCTATCTTCAAGTCTTCCTTTGTATCAAAACAATCATCTTTCTTGATACGAATAATTTTTGTGTAACAATCAACTGCTATTTTTACCAACTCTTCTTCCGGTATCTGAAGTAATTCTGGCATATTCCAGTTATACTCCCGTGACATTTTCTTCGGGGACTTTTCTTCGGGGATTTCTTCTTCTTCTTTTTCTTCTTCAGGGTTATATGAATTACAGAATGGATGTTCAATATGTTCATTCACAGTCGTAACTTCCTCCTCATTATCATCAACAATATTTTCCTCGATAGCGGCTGTTTTATCATCAAAATTCGGGTATTGATCAATATCAAAATCATTACACGCAGGGTCTGTTTCTTCTTCTGAAACATCATCAAAATCTGAATATTGACCAAGATCAAATTTCGAATACCTACTAGTACTCACAATTTTTTCTATTGGCTCATCATCGTCTAACTAGTTAAAACGAAAACCGGAATTTAGTGCTGAAAGTTTATTGGGATTTGGATTAGGGAAAGGTTGTGGGTTTTGAGATTGTGTTTGGTATTGGAAATGTGGTGAAACAAAATTTGCTTGGTGATGAAATTGTGGTGGAACCATTAAATTTTGAGCACCATAAACTGGGGTTGAAAAACTTAGTTGATTACTACCCGCTACTGACCAAACTTCACTACTTCTAGGTTCAACAACATACAATGTAACATCATCTTGCGAAACACTAATGTAAGCAATGAATCGTTCAACATCTTCATTGTCGGTTAACAAATAAACTTTACATTTTCTCTGATAAGATAGCCTAAATCCACTTAAGGGCTCTAAATTCAATTTATTTGTAACACGTAACATTAGAGTTTCATAAGTTAACTTTTTTAATGTCAGTTTTAGTTGAAGATTCATGGGTAAAGGCATATATTGTAAAACACCATGAACATTCTCCCATGACCCTCCAAAACACAAATCTATCCAAACATGATCAACATTAGATGATTTCATTATTGTAAATTAATTTACTAAACAAAAGAGCTGCAAAACTAAAACATGTTGCCGGATGGGGAATGATGTCGTTGGATATAGGAACGGATGTCACCGGAGAGAGTGATAGATGGAGATGAAATGAGTTGCGATTTAGGGATTTAGGTTATGAGTTACTTCTGTTGCGTAGTTATATATCCAAAACATTTTTGTTGCAAAACTAAAACCTGTTGCGAATTTGAAATTCAGTGTTGTGACAGTCAGAATCGCGTTGCGACAGTCAGAATCGCGTTGCGATAGTCATAATCGCATTGCGATTTATATATTCGCATTGCGATAGTCGGAAAATCGCAACGCGAATTTGGAAAATCGCAATGCGATAGTCAGAATCGCGTTACGAATCTGGAAACTGATTTGCGATACCAGAGATCGCGTTGCGAATTATCGATCGCATTGCGATTTAGTTGGTCATTTTGGCAAATCCAAAAAAAGTTGGTTAAAATCGTATATTATAAGGCATTTTTTGTCACTGAGGTTATTTTCTCTTTAAAATACTATAATTTTGTGTACCATTAAGTCTTATTAAGCGCGGGGAATTACAACACATTCCCAATTTGGACTGAAAGCAACCGCGTGGGTCCTTCTCCTCTAAGGTACAACCATTTATGTGTGCACCCATGAAAAATTATTAAATAGACCTGACTTATTACGTTGTTTATAGTCTAAGTTAATAAAATCTATTTTAGAATAACTTTCAAATTACAATTATTTCTTATTTATTTATAAGAAAAAGGTGAAAAATCACCTTAAAAATAGGATAGATGAAATTTATTATTTAAGATCACAAATAATGTGAAGAATAGATCCGTTTATTTACAAGTGTAAAATGTGATAAATCATAAGGTCCCAAAATTTAGCAGCCCATACTTACAAAAAAAATATTTTAGCTTAGAACTTTTTTTATTGTTGTCAAGATTTAACAAAAATCTTATAATTTTTCTTTATTATTATGTCAACAATTCAGTTGTAATAATTTCTTTCTAAAAGTACCAAATTTATGACGTTTAATAGACAATAAAATATTATTTATATTCATCTTACTCTCAATTTTTTTAAATTTTGATATTTTATAATTTTATAATTTTATTTTATTATAATATATTTTAAAAATTTCGTTCTAATAAAATAACACATGACACGTATATTTTTTATGACGGACCTGACGACGAATAAAATCCATTTAATAATTTTTCCAACTTGACAAATCGCGCTCTTAAAAGGAAACAATCCTATTAAAAAAATCCAGCGTTAAAAGGGAGGCGCGCATTCCCTTGCCACGTCATTTTTGCGTTAACTTCACGACGCTCCGTTACTTCACTCGTATATGTTTTCCTCAATTTTAGAAACAGTTATTTATTTATTTCTATTTTTTATTTCTATTTTTTAGAAATTAAAATATATATTTAATAAAAATATTATTTTTCAATAATTATTTTTTCTCTTAAAAAAGAATATTATTGAGTTGAAATCCAAACAAAACCCACATTTTGCTTCTCTCTTTCACCGTCACTCTTCACTTTGCGCGAGTATTTCTTCGTCTCTTCTTCCTCAAAGTAGAGTTTTTTTTATTGAGTTTTAATTGTTTGATCATTAAAGCAAATGTGATTTCAGTAATTGCTTTGTTTGTTACTACTCTAATATGTGAAAATGATCTGAATTCCCATAATCTTATTTTCTCTGTTTGGTAAATATGATGAAATAAACGAATGTCGGTGCTGGAAACTTAATACTTTCCCATCTTTTTCCTAGATTTTCTTTTCAATGTGCCAACACAGCAGTCGATCATTTTAATGATTCAGTTTTTGTAATAGTTTGCATGTTTTTGGTAAAGCATTGGACTTTTATTAATCACACTGGCTGATTAGAAAGGCAAGAAATGCAACATCCTCAGTATTTGCTGTTTCCTTTTATTAATGATTTAGTTAGTTAGTTTTTTCTTGTGGATCTTCTCTTATTAGTTCTTCAATTTTAATTCGAGTGCTAAATTCTCTCAGGGGTTGGGTGTTTTTTTTTGGTCAAGTATAAGAAATTGTACAATGTTCACCCAAGCTCTTGACAAGGATGGGTTAAGATGGGTTCGCCAGGTGGGTCATTTCAATTGGTTATCCGTATAAATTCATATCTTTATGCATTTGTTTAGGTATTTGTTGCAAACACTTCTTTTATTTGAAGAAAGATCTTTCATTGATTCGTGATGTTAGTGTTTAGTGAAGTTTTTACTTTGTAGTGTAGTCTGAGGTGCTGGCTGAGTCTGATCTAAATGTTTTGAACTTGTATTAGGGTGGTGTTGCCACAACAGAGATTTTTTTGGTTTGACGATGGCAGCAAGATAAACACTTGAACCTATTCACAGTTTAAGAAATGTTGGATTGCCTACATCGTTGAAATATCCTAATGGACATTTATCTTCTTATGTAATTCAAGTGTCTCAGAGAAACCTGTTAGTGGCAATGATCATGGTTCAGAATCGGACATGGACATTTCATCTGATTCTGATGAGCATGGCTATGATGGGCAATACTCATTCATTTCATCTCCACAAGATGATAAGGTGCCAAATGGAGTGAATGCTAAACATGCTGCTTCAATGCATAAATCAGAGGCTTATGTTCACAGTGGAACTCAGCTGAAACTAGCTAATGGTGCTCAGAGACCAGCACAGGTTTGTGGTGGGAAGCAGGAGACTGAAGAAGAGCAATTTTCAGATACTGCTTGTAGCACTGAAGTTTTGTTTATGCAGCATAGAAGCAACAGTGGTTTTGCATCTCATAGAGAATCATATAATTCAGATAGTTATTCTTCTACAGTTAATTCTAGGGTAGGGGTTGCAATGAACTTTCTGGATGCAAAAGCTTTTTTAGTTTATGTGGTTCAGTGCCTTGTGATGCCAGAACTATTCAAGCATTCTGTTAAAACTAGGCTTTAGAATGTCCTTATTTCACTAAGAATTTGCTTTTACTCATGAAGTTTCTCCTTTAGTGTTATTTTATTATGTAATTTGTTATTAAGTTGCTTAAATTGTGCCCCTGAAGCATTAAAGTAGAAAACTTCCGGGCACTCCATAATTCTTTTTTTTTTCTTGTTATTTTCGCCATCCTTGTGTAAATTTAGGATAGTAGTTTTTTGTATGTGCAAAATCCACCGAGTGATATCACCATTGTCAATGGGTAGGCTACCTGGGGTTTCACATCCTAAAACTTTACCTATTTGAATTTTCTAATTGTTTGACTTGTTTTGGGACTGGAGATGTCTAAATGGATTCATTAGGAGGTAATCTTTAACTTGCATATGCAACCTGGAATTTATAAGTTTTGAAATGTGAGACCATTTTGATGATCAAACTTAAATTAATTGTTAATCTAAAACATTATGCCATGTGTCATACTCAAACTATTTATGTTCATGTAGGTTTTTCATACCGGAAGAATGCAAAAGATGGAACCTTCTCACAGTGATACCATTATTCTGGATAACAACAGGGATGAGATCCTTGACCGATCAGTCAGGTTTGTATGTCTGAATCTCTGATCCTAGTTTCCTTGATGTTTTTAATAAATTGTCATCAATGCACTTTGACGGAACAATCATGTATTACAGGGCTGAGGAACATGAAGGAGCCAATGAATCTACTAATAATTTGCCCTCACGCCGCCCTATATTTCATGCTAGGTTAGCTAATTTCTAAACCAAGCATGGGTTTCTCTTGATTTAGACATTTTACCTTCATAATGTCTGAGGCAACTGACTGCGTTAATCAAAATGTTTCAGTGGGCTTGGTCCATGGGTTGCAGTTCTGTCTTATGATATATGTTTTCGCTTATGCTTAAATTCATGGGGCCAAAGGTTGCACGGAAGAGGCTCCCTACTTCTTGAATCAAGAATGTTCAGAGTTGCGAAAAGCATTTGGGTGAGTGCAAATATTCCCTTTTTGTTTCTTTAGCATCATGTTTTTGCAGTTATACATTGCCTGTTTGAGGTCAATATGCGATCAGAATGCCAGTTTAACTCTGAAATCCAACTTAAGATTAGTTGAATGAAACTGTTCTAATCTTGGAATCTCTGTAACTTGATATGCTGATAAAAGTATGAAATATTACCCATTTTTGGCAATATGGGCAGAAATAAGGATCTATGGAAGTGGAACTGTAGACAAACTGATCATGTCATAAGGTTGCTTTGGTTAGTTCTTTGCCTTCCATGACTGTTCACTGGAAAACGATGTGATAGTGTTAGTTGTCGATCATGTCTATCGAAGAGGTTCTTTGAAAATGTTTCTGGTCCAACCTAACCAGAAGATCATAAGTCATGGTTGCTGGTGTCTTATGTAGAAGTTGTTTCTATGTTTGCATTGTAATTTCATTTAGTAAGGAACCATCTTAGAGCATTCAGCATACTAAATAATTGCAGACAGATTTATTGCATTTTAATCAGATCACTGGGAAGAAACGCTCAGTGTTCCTGGCTTTTTCTTGCAATTATTGCATTGTCCATGCATTCCTACCTTTGTGCATCTGTGCATGTAAGATTCAAGCTTTCTTTTCTATATTTGGATATGCAATCCATTTACATGATATTTTCCTATTGTTGATTTGGTGGGGCTTGTTACTGCTGCTTGTGAAACTTGGTACTTTTATTCTTGCTTTGAATTACGTATCTCTGACTCACATTTTATTTTCTAGTTTGCAGAATGTACTACTGCAACCCGAAGAAGAGTTATTGGCAAAACAGTCTTCTGAGTTAGTGAGGCAACTGCTCCTAAATCAAAGAGGTTCATTGGCAAAATGAAAGTGCAAGGTATTGTCATGTTTCCTGAAAAAAAAACATTCACCAAATCATAATTTTTCATGTTTAAGCCTACACATATATCTTCTTTCTTTTGAACAGTGCGTAGAGTCAAAATGGGTTTAGACCCTCCTCCTGGCTGCAATCTGTCTATAATGAAGATGGAATCCCTTCATCACCATTTCTGCAAAGTAAACTCAATGTTGTATTCTGGATGGGAATCTCTTCGGAAAGTTCGAGTAACTCCCAATACTCCTACAAACAGTTCTCTTTCAAAGCAAAGCCTAGCATATCTGCAGGCAAGCCGCCAGTATATAAAAGAGGTATCCAAGCTCTTGAAAACTGGAGTGACTACTTTGCATCAACATCGTATGAAGTAATTCCAGGTATTTAAACCCTTTTAGTTATATGAAAATTTGGAAGTTTGCTGTTATGATTGAAATACATGGTTGAAATTTTGTAGTTAGGGTATTATTACTCTTGCATGTATCCTTTGTGGCTTTGTCCATGTAGGAATTATAGAAATGAGTTGTCAATCCCTTAAGTTAAGAGATTCTGTAATTATTTTCTGTTTTTCAATCCTTATTTCAAGGGATTACATCTCCTAGGATTAGTTTCCTTTCTTAGAGTTTCCTAATTTAGAGGCATAATTTGTATATAAATATGTAATATGTTCTACTGAATGTACACAAGAATAAAAATAACAGACTTGTCTGTTTTCTACAGTATGTTTTCTACACAGTCTGTTTTCTACATGGTATCAAAATCTCTTAACTTAAGGGATTGACAACTCATTTCTATAATTCCTACAGTCCATTGGTTTCAACATGCTTTACAAGGACATGATGTTTCTCTGTGTGTGTTCTGATTCTCTCCTTGCCACCTAAAATTAGTTTGGTATGTCATTAGAGTCACTCCATAAATACAATAAATACTGTTGTGATCTATGAAGACATATCACACTCGTCTCTTTTGTTGATCTAAACAATTTTTTGATGTACTTGGAACCAATAATATGAATCTTTGGCACTATCAAGGAGTAATTACTTAATTTCTAAGAAATGGCTTGACAAGGGGAAATGCTGCTTAGGTATATCAACAACAGCTATCAACTACACCTGCAGTTACAAGAGCAAAATGCCACACTTGTAACAGCTGTAACCTTTCACTCGGAACATTTAGACGACTACATAATTTCCTCCATTTAGTTTTGATGGGGATGCAAAATGGAACTGTTCTTAATTATATGGTAATTAAAATTATTGTCAGCAGTACTCTAATTTTTTCCAAATAGGTATGCGCAAGGGGGCAGGTGTTAGCTCCATTCTATTCTACCAAGTAAGTAAAACAATATTTGGCGGAGTTTGAACAAGGAGATAGTACTTTCTTGGACTACTTGTTACCCGGCTAAGTTTGTATTTTGCTCTCTAGCTGGTTAAGAATAATAAGGCAAAAGAAAAATTACTTCATTTTTGGTTAAATGAAAGCACCTTGGTTCTAGGAACAGACTTCAATAAATAACACCTTGGCATAATGTCCGTAGCTAGGACATGATCCTAAATATAGAGTACCATTTGTGCAATATATTTCACCACCAACCAGAAATAATGGAAAAAGGCTTAGGCAGTTATTGTTGATGATGATTAGGCTCTCAGAGAATAGGATGGTATTACCATTTTGCGCCTAACATTAGGTGATGATTGTAATTCTCAGAAACATATTGTTGCTTGCTGAAGTTGAAAAGTTCATCTGAGGATGATGTGATCAAAATGCAACCAGGATCCAGCGAAACTCGTGTTGTATGTAGCTTCTCTAACTCCTTATGCATCTTTTCCTCCATACATCCTTTTGCTTCACTTCTCTCAAATGCTTGCTATCTTATATTTTTAATCCTTGCTCCATACCCTGTGGAAAATTTCTTTCCTGATATTTTGCTGCACAGCTTACCTGATGGGCTTCGCGATGATTTGATTGTCAGAGTTCTTGACTCCAAGGGGCAGTATTGTGGCCATGCCCTAGCACAAGTGGTCTCTCTTGCTGATGACCCTGTAAGGATTTTTGAATAAAATCTAGCCATTAAGTCTTCAGGTAAAAGGGCTGATGATTATGCTGAAAGTTTACCACATTGGTTATGCAGGGTGACAAACTTCGATGGTGGCTGTTATATCGTGAGCCAGAACATGAGCTTGTTGGCAGAGTGCAACTGTATATACACTATTCAACCAGTCAAGAGGAGAATAACCTAAAGGTACATGCGAAATGTAATTGTCTAGAAAATTTTAAAATAACTCCACTTAATGGGTTTTTTTTTTCATTTTCCTTTACCAATTGCTACCATTTTACCATTTGATTACAGCACGCCAACAGAAATAGCAACTATACTAGAAAGTGATGGTAAGGCTAACATTTTCTTGTCCTCTCAGTGTGGTTCTGTTGCGGAAACTGTGGCATATGATTTGTTGTTGGAAGTTGCAATGAAAATTCAGCACTTTCAGCAAAGAAATTTGTTGCTACATGGCCCTTGGAAGTGGTTGGTGAATGAATTTGCATCATACTATGGAGTATCTGATGCATATACCAAGCTAAGGTATGGATATGCAATAGAAGGGTAGTTGATGTTTTCATCATTAGGAGTTTTAAATATCTTTCTTATGTTTGATTTTCTTTTTGGCTGCAGATACCTTGCTTATGTTATGGATGTGGCTACACCAACTGAAGACTGTCTTACAGTAATACATGATTTACTATCTCCTGTGAAGGGCTATAACAAGCACAAATTAAGTCACCAAGAGGTATGTGTGCTATTCAAGCCAAATTATTTTATTATTTAAATTCTCTCTCTCTCTCTCTCTTTTTTCTTTTCCTTTTGTTATCAGTGTCATGCATGTATGACATATAAAAAAATGACTGGCCATTAGCTTCTTAGTAGTTCTAATAATCAGATTGTATCAACTCAGAAATGGAATTGTCAAGCATGTTTCTTAAGTTTAATTCTAGTTTGGGTCTTCTGATTCACATATATAAGTTACTGATAAAGTGTTTCTTGAATTTCAATCTTAATTTTGATTTAGTTAAGATGTGCCACTTTGCCATTGTCATTTTCATGTATGATGTATCTTTATTTTATTTTAATTTTCATCCTTTAATCTTATACAAGTTTGTTGTTAAAACTACACAGGCTTACAGAAATTCATTTGTATGTGTAAGTGTTAAAGAAAATGCATGAATGCCTGCAAACTCTTTTCTCATATGAATTTAACGCTTTAACATCAATCAGAACCGCATCCTTGGAGAAGTTGAGGATCAGGTACAGCAGATTTTAATTGAGATCTTTGAGAATTACAAGTCATTGGATGAATCATCGCCATCAGGGATGATGAGTGTTTATAAGGCTGCCACTGGAGCACCAGCTCCTGCCCTGGTCCCTGCCATCAAGCTCTATAACCTATTACATGATATATTAACTCCTGAGATACAACAAAAGTTATGTGGATATTTTCAGGTATAAGTGACTTATTTCTTGATAGTCACGGTTTTGTATATTCCTTTCCTGTTTGTTCCCTCTATGAATTTGCAATAACCTTGCAGGCTGCTGCGAAAAAGAGATCTAGAAGGCACCAAGCTGAAACAGATGAGTTCATTTTGAGCAATAATGACGGAGCATTGATGGATCCCACGACTCTTTCAATGTCTTATCAGAAGATGAAAACTTTAATTTTGGGTATCAAGAAAGAAATTTTCACTGATATAGAGATCCACAAGCAGAATATTCTTCCTAGGTGATTTTCTCTTATTTCAGGGGATCACAGCATGCAAAATAATGTATTTCCGTTCCGAAACAATTGTTCTTTTATTTTCTCCTCCCTTTTGTTGATCTATTATGACTGCAAATGTTTCTATATGTAGTAATTTATCAGCACATAAAGTTACATGCTCAAACTTTTGAGCTGGATGTGTCTAACAAGGGTGTTTTAAGTTTTATTCTTGGAAGGTAATGACTGCATATCCTTGTCCACTTTGAAAAGTCACAGTAACATAGTACCTAGAGTTTCCTGGTTAGCTAATTTGCCTTAAAAGTGTGGTAACACTTGTTTGAGAAGGAAGACAAAAGGCGAGAGAGAGAGAGAGAGAGAGTATTAAGAGCACTGTGGTTTATGCAAATCAGATCTAGGAGAAAGTTTCAAATATGAAAGGGTTAAAAAGTAGATGATTGTAAGCTCTTAAATACTTTTGAAATTACTTTGTATTTTGGCGTATCCCCTATACTTATATGTTTTCTGGCTTTGCTTTTTGACTGATTCAATTGTTCTGTGCTGATTTCTGTTGCCTGCCCCATCTTCTACTTTTGCAGTTTTATAGATCTTCCAAACCTTTCAGCACCCATATACAGTTTGGACCTTTGCAGACGGTTGCGTGCGTTTCTTGTTGAATGCCCTCCTCCTGGCCCTTCTCCTCCTGTAATGGAACTGGTTATTGCAACAGCAGACTTTCAAAGAGATATGTCTTCCTGGAATATTAAGTAAAAGTTTTGCTTCTTTTAGCTCATATATGGATGATACAAACTTGTGCTAATCTATATATGGCTTGAAAATTTCAGTTGTTTTCTATTCTTCTCTGATCTTTTAACATTTTGCAGACCTATAAAAGGGGGAATTGAGGCAAAAGAGTTGTTTCACTCTTATATAACAAGTTGGATTGAAGAGAAGCGACATTCTTTACTTGACTCATGCAAACAAGATAAGGTGCACATTTTATGTGGCAGACTTATGTAATTGAATAATGAAGTTAATGTGGCCAGTTTGGGAATGCTTCTAGCAATTGAAAAGTGATATTTGACCCCATAAACAATGCTAAACACCCAAAAATTGATTTAAAATCATGGTTGGAAAAGTTATTTTAACCTAAACTCATAAGCTCAAATTTTTAGCTTTTGTTGTGGAAAATCACTTTTGAGTGAAATTATATTTTTACCCTCAAATATTATATTTTCAATTTACAACATAATGTCTAAAATGAACATTTTATCTTTTTAAAATCACTTTTTAACAGCAATCCCAAACAATTAAATTTTAAATTGTACTTTTCGAAAATACTTTTAAAAGTATATTTTTACAGCACTTTTAAAATCATTTTTCAAAAGCAATACCAAATTGGCCAGTAGTTTTTGAACACTTGTGCATCTTTTACTCTTTCCTGCTCAACATCTAGGAAAACCAGTCAGTCTTGCTTGGAATATATAATTTGGGATCGTCATATTTTGAATATATATATGGAGGGATCCACTTATAATAGTATTTAGTTTTACACACTTCCACAACTATTCAATTATTATTCTAACAATTTGACCACCTTATTTGATATAAAAAACTTTCAACTGTTAAATATAGTGATATGTACAATATTCTTGGTCGATATGATAGAGATGTAAGATCAATTCGAAACTTTATGTACATGAAAAATACAACTATATTGATAAGTTCAGTGGTTATATGTCAGGATTGGAGAAGAAGAGGAACGACGAGGAAATATCGAAGGAGATTTGGGAAATGAAGACTGAGGGTTGGGCATTGAAGACAACAATTGGGAATTCATCATGTGAGAGGCACGGGGTTACTTACATTATCAGAAGAGCTGGGCAAGCAGCAGGGCGAGCAGTAAGGAAGTCTGAAGGAGCAGCCCAATATCGAAGGCCCAATACCTGAGAAAGAAAGAAAAGAAAGAGAGGAATCATTCAGTTATATAGTTTGGACAGCTGGCAAGAAATTATTGGCATTGTAACTAAATAATTAACAAACCAGAGTGTAAACAATCCTTATGCAATGAATGATGATTTTCTTCTCTCGTCTATCTCTCTCGTCTAAATTCTTCTCCTAAATCATTTCTTTCTCTCAAACTATAAGAATTGGTAATCAGAGCTAAGATTCTGGCAAATTTTTTTTTTGAGGCATGACAAAGAAGAATCAATCTATGGCAGAAACGAATTTGGCTGGGATTCAGAAACAAATTGAAGACCATACTGCTTTGGTAAAACAAGGTCAGAATGAGATTAATCCACCTAAATGGTGGGAGACTCAGGAAACAAGGATTACTGCACTGGAGGCTTGAATGACCACAAATCATAGCTATGTGGAAGATATATTGAGGATACTGACAGGCAGAACTGGAGACCAAGAGCAGTCTGTGGGTGAGCAGGTACAATCTCCTGATACTTCTCAAAATAAGGAAAATAATTATGTTTTGGTGACTGTGGTGAATGACAAGTCTAAATTTACTTACAAACCGGATGAACCTGGGATATTAAAGACTAAACCTGATGCTTATTTAGCTCTTAAGAACAGTTCTAGGCCTGAAAATCAGGTGGGTGAAAACAGTGATTCTAGGCCTAATTTGTTTGGATTGGAAGCTGAAAAAAGGGGGCCAGGGGGTTCATTTAATAGTTCAGGAACTATGTGGCACAGACCTAAGATAGAACTGTCATTTTTTGATAGGGTTAATCCTAGAGGATGGATTCAAAAATGCTTGAAATATTTTTCTATCTATAGTGTTCCTGTTGAGCAAAGAGTAGAGGTAGCTACTATGTATTTCACAGGCAAAGCAGAAATATGGTTTGATGGATATATAATGCAAAAGCACCATGTAACATGGCATGAATTTGAAGCTGATATCTGTCACAGATTCAGTGATAGATCTTTTTGTGATATTGTGGAAGAATTCACTAAATTGACTCAAAAAGGGTCAGTGGAAGATTATCAGGAAAAATTTGAGAAGTTACAGCCCTATATGTTGTTGCAGAATCCTACTTTAAATGAAGAGTTCTTTTATCACTTTTATTAGTGGTCTAAGAGATGATATTAAACATAGGGTCAAGGCTTTAGATCCTAAAATTGTTTGAAGCATGTAAACAGGCCAAGCTTTATGAACTTTCCGTGGAATTTGAAAATAAAAGATTAAAGCCTTCTTTTAAAAGCCCACCCTACCCAAACCCCATATCTATGCATAAGACACCTTCTCTGCCAGTGCCTATAAAGTCCACCTCATCACCAAATCCGAAACAAAATCTTATGGATTATAGAAGACAAAATAACCTTTGTTTCAAATGTGGTGACAATAATTTGCCAGGCGATCAGTGTAAAACAGACAGTTAAATATGATGACTGAAGAAATTGAAACTTCTCCTTTGGAAGTTAGTTCCCTTGATACAGAACAACTATAGCAGCCAGAAGAGGAAAACCTAGAAATTTCTATGAATGCCATAACTGGTTGTATTGGCCATAATACTTGAGAATTCAGGGTACTATTCAGGGAAAACCCTTGAATATATTAATTGATAGTGGCAGCACACATAGTTTTTTGACCCCTAAATGGGCTGATGCTAGTATACAGATCACTACACCTAATCCTCTGGTTATCGCTGTGGCTAATGGCAAAAAATTATTCAGTTCTGCTAGGTGCAACAAGGTAGAATGGCAAATGCAGGGCCATACTTTTTCACACAATTTTAGGCTGCTCAAATTGGAGGAATGACATGGTTCTGGGAGTTGATTGGATGAAACTATTTAGTCCAATATCAATGGACTTCAATAATATGACCTTAAGCTTTGACCCCAAGGAGATCAAATTTGTGTCAAGGTCAACAACCCTCTAATGAACTACTGCAGATTTCTGGGGCTACACTACTTAAAATGTCTGCATGGGATTCAGATATTTTGGGTCATGTTATCTTATTGAATATGGAAGGCAATTCTACTAGTATTCCTACTGAAATTCAACATTTGTTAGAACAGTACAGATCAGTTTTTGCTGAACCAAAAGGGCTACCTCTCATAGATCTCATGACCATGCTATTCCACTCAAATCTAATGCTACTCCTTGTGAATCTAAGGCCTTATAGATTTCTTTATAATCAAAAGGCTGAAGTTGAAAAACATATAGCTACTATGTTGTCCTCTTCTGTTATTCAGCCTAGTAAGAGCCCATTTGCATCTCCCTGCCTTCTTATTAAAAAGAAGGATGACACTTGGAGATTTTGTGTGTATTACAGAGAATTAAATAGTCTGACCATTAAAGATAAATTTCCTATTCCTATAGTGGAAGATTTGCTAGATGAATTGTATGGGACAATATACTTTTCAAAAATTAATTTGAGGTTAGGTTATTGGCAGATCAGAATTAAACCTGAAGATATTTACAAGACAGCCTTTAGAACTCATCAATGCCATTATGAGTTCAAGGTAATGCCTTTTGGTCTTACTAATGCTCCTGCTACATTTCAGGCTCTTATGAATGAATTATTCAATTTTTTCCTAAGAAAATTTGTTTTAGTTTTCTTTGATGATATCTTGGTGTACAGCAGCAGTATGAAAGAGCACATTAAACACTTACAGCTGGTTTTGGAAGTATTAAAGGTGAATCAATTATTTGCAAAATTGTCCAAGTGTTTCTTTGGGCAAACTCAGGTGGAGTATCTTGGCCATATTATTTCTGCTGCAGGAGTATCTACTGACCCTAGCAAGGTGGAGGCTATGCAGAATTGGCCTAAGCCTAAAACTCTTAAATCTTTAAGAGGATTTCTGGGCCTAACTAGATATTACAGGAGATTTATCAAAAATTATGGTATTATTAGCAGGCCCTTGACACAGTTGTTGAAAAAAGATGGATTTCAGTGGACTGCTGCTGCTTATACAACTTTTGAAGATCTTAAATTAACCATGTGTCCTGCTCCAGTTTTGGCCATACCTGATTTTCTAAAACTTTTTATCTGGAACAGATGCTAGTTCTGGAGGTATAGGGGATGTTCTTGCACAAGAAGGGACCTATTGCTTATTTGAGTCAAGCTCTAAGTCTAAGAATTCAGCATTATCTATATATGAAAAAGAATACCTTGCTATTCTTTTGGCTGTTTCAAAATGAAGACATTATTTGGAGACCAAACCTTTTATTATTAAGACTGATCATGAGCCTCTAAAATTTCTTTTAGAACAGAAGTTGACTACCACTATTCAAAAGAAAGGGTTGACAAAGCTATTAGGATTGGATTATACTATACAGTACAGAAAAGGAAAGTTGAATGTTGTTGCTGATGCCTTATCTACAAGATGGGAGGATCAGGCTCAATGCTTTGTTTTGGGAGCTACTGTTTTAGTACCTACTTGGGTTCAAGAGGTGGAAGACTGTTATCAGGGTGATACTTTAGAACATTACTGGATTTCAACTCTTATTATTAATCCTACAACTAATAGTAAATGGAAGTATTCTAAGGCTGTCCTTAGATGCAGTTGTAGGGTTTATATTGGAGATCATGGCAGTCTTAGATTGAAGGTTATTAAGACCTTACATGACTCTCCTCAATGAGGACATTCAGGAGCCCAAGCTACATATTATAGGATTAGGTCATATTTTTATTGGCCAAATCTTAAAGTTATGGTTGTTACTTATGTGAGAAGCTGTGAAATATGCCAGCAGATTAAGGTTGAACATGTAGCAAAGCCTGGTTTGCTACAGCCCCTTCCTGTTCCTAATCAGGCTTGGGAAATAATTACTATGGATTTCATTGAAGGTTTACCTACTTCATTTAAGAAAAACTGCATTTTGGTTATTGTGGATAAGTTTACCAAGTACAATCATTTTTTGTCTTTAGCTCACCCTTATTCTGCAACAGAGGTGGCTAAGCTATACCTAGATAATGTGTATAAGCTACATAGCCAGCCTAAGATGGCCATTTCTGACAGAGATAAGACCTTCACAAGTGTTTTTTGGAGAGAATTAATGAAACATCTTGGGACAAAGACACTTTTCAGTACTGCTTACCATCCAGAAATAGATGGTCAAACAGAGAGAGTCAATCAATGTCTAGAGCAGTATTTGAGAGGCCTTTGCCTCTATCAACCTAAACAATGGGCTAAGTGGTTACCACATGCAGAATGGTGGTACAATACTACTTATCATACTGCTCTAAAGTTAACACCTTTTCAGGCATTATATGGGTATAAACCACCTATTATGGTTTGGCCTAATGAGTCTACAGTACAAACTATATCATAATTGATGAACAGTAGAGAAGCTACAAGGCAGTTGCTAAAGAATCAACTACATATAACAAGCAATAGAATGAAGCAGCAAGAAGATAAAAATAGAACTGAAAGAACCTTTGAGGTTGGGGATTTAGTTTACCTGAAATTGCAGCCCTACAGACAAACATCAATTGCCAAGCAATAGAATGAAGCAGCAAGAGATAAAAATAGAACTGAAAGAACCTTTGAGGTTGGGGATTTAGTTTACCTGAAATTGCAGCCCTACAACAAACATCAATTGCCCTGCGGAAAATTTGAAGTTAGCAACAAAATTTTTTGAACCCTATTAGTTCTGGAAAAAATAGGAACGGTAGATTATCGACTTACCAGATTCCTCTCGATTGCACTCGGTTTTCCATGTCAGTTTACTGAAGAATTCATAGGCGATTTCTATTGTTTCTTCTGAACCTCTTACAGTGGATGAAGAAGGAGAGTTACAAATTAAACCATTAAAAATTATGGCCAGAAGAATTGTAAATAGAAACAGTAAACCTGTTACTCAACTTTTGGTTCGTTGGCAGAATCTCGCTGCTGAAAACGATACTTGGGAGGACTACTCGACATTGAAGGGACAATTTCCAGCGTTCGATCCTTGGGGACAAGGCTCGTCTCGAGGGTTGGATATTGTCAGGATTGGAGAAGAAGAAGAGGAACGACGAGGAAATATCGAAGGAGATTGGGAAATGATGACCGAGGTTGATTGAAGACAACAATTGGGATTCAATCATGTGAGAGATACATGCACCACATGCCCTAAAGCTAAGGATGATGAATTTACTATACCACTTGGCCCTATCACACGAGGCCGGACTAAACTTCTTAAAGACAAGCTTCAAATCGCAGTTCAAGCATTCATCCGGAAGGGTCTAATAGCAGCAGATTTGTAACACTTTTGAAGGGTATCCAGTTGTTATCCGGTCGACTGTCTTCTAGAGATACAACTGTCTGTCTCTTATCTTTCCAACGGTTCTTGAATCGCATCAATCCGATATCGGGAACTCAAGATATGGTCATTTACTGAAGACGGTGCATGCAGGAAATCCTACGGGATTAATACGTTATTTTGTAAATATTACGAATTTTCAATATTTATATTGATTATTTGTAATATAATTTAATATAGGATTTTAATTATCTTTTAGGATCAGATTATTATTTTATTAGGAATTAAGGTTGGGTTTAAAACAATATTTTTAGTTATATTATTTTATTAGGAATTAGAGTTAAAACATGTTTAGTTTTTTAATATTTTATTCTTTAGTTATTTAGGACCTTTAGAATTCAGCCCCTATATAAAGGAGGCTTCATTCAACTTTGTAAATCAGATTTCTTTGATCAATAATACAACAAGAGTTTGTTTTGCAAGTGCTGCCGTGTGCCTTCGAAGCTTCTTCTCCTGGAGTTCTTTCAAGTTCTTGTGAGGGAGATTAATCTTCACACTCCAATTTGCCTTTTCATCGCGACTAGGAGGGTTGGTTAGAGCCATATTATCGGTTTGCCTTTTCATTGCGACTAGGAGGCTCGATAGGACATTATCCATCGATTTTCCACATCCATCCATGCCATCAATCATCTTACCGTTCACTTTCATAAGGGAGATCTTTGATTTCTTGGTTATTTTCTCTATTCTTAATTCCTTTATCTTTTGTTTATCTTATTTTAATCTTGTTTCTTTTCTTGTTTCTAGCACTAAAAGAAATCCTAAAGAATCCTAGCTATTGCCTCCACCTTCCTCATTCATTCCTTATTGTTCTTCATCGAGTCTAGAGCTTTTCTAGGATTGATTCTTCAACAAGAGCAACGTCATCATCCGCCACCGCTTCCCTATCAGAGAGGCACGGGTTACTTACATTATCAGAAGAGCTGGGCAAGTAGCAGGCGAGCAGCAAGGAAGTCTGAAGGAGCAGCCCAATATCGAAGGCCCAATACCTGAGAAAGAAAAGAAAGAGGGAATCATTCAGTTATATAGTTTGGACAGCTGACAAATTTTTTGGCATTGTAACTAATAATTAACAAACAGAGTGTAAACAATCATTTCTCTATCGTCTATCTCTCTCGTCTAAATTCTTCTCCTAAATCCTTTCTTTTCTCTCAAACTAACATTATATTGTGGGAATATCAATCATAGAATGTTCCACTAGTGTAAGAGGATGATACATGTGTGTATATATATATATATATATTTGAACTGCGCGTAAACCAGAGAATTGCCAAGTGTAAAACTGTAATGACTGATTAAAATTGATTGTAAGACCAGGTTTTCTGACCCCTCCCCTCTCAATTGACAATTTTCTTGAAATTGATTGCAGGTTAAATGTTCTGATATAAAACACGACAATCAACAACTCCTTTCATTGATGATTGTATGATGACCAGCTAACACAAACATTGAATGAATTGAATTATCATTCTCGCTGGCCAGAATTCACTGTCATCTTGGAAAATGTACATTTCTCTTCCCTGTATCAGTGTTCTTACAGATTTTAAGATTTACGGGGTGCAGAGATGGCATATGGATTTCAAAATGAACTAAAAGTACAGATACAATGTTTCTGTGACTTGAATTTGATGAATGCAATTATTTTTATATTATTTGTTGCTACTGCTGTAAACATTATGCACTACTAAGAACAGGAATATTTCATTATATGGACCTGAAACTAGAAATAACCTGTAATCTTGTTGCATGATCCACATCGGTTTTCAGGGGGATTAGTAGCTTTGATCTTGAGCCCTAACTCCAGGCTTCAGCTTGGCAGTGTGTTAACTTCATGCATGATATGCATCTTACTATTAGGGTGATTTACAACTTGTTTATGGAAATCCATCAGTTTTGTTAGTTGTTTTGAAGTTACCTAAAGAATTGCTATTTAAAAAAAAAATCAAATTTTTTTAGTGCAAAAGCAGGCACTATCCCTCTGGGCACCTAAAGACTTGTTATTTAACATAAATGGAGTTCGAGCAACCATATTGCATTGTTCTTGTTTATGTTTATTTTTTGTTATTCTAAATGAACCTGTTAATTCTTGGTACTTGTGGCTGTAAAAAGGCTATTGCAGATGTTGAAAAGGCTATTGCAGATGTTGAAAAGGCTATTATTAAAGCTTTAGAGCGACAGTATGATGTTCTAGCTCCGCTAAAGGACGGCCCTGCTCCTACGATAATTGGCAAAATGTTCAGAAATTCACCAAGGAACTGTCATAATTGTTCCTGATGAGGTAAGTATTGCTTACGCATTTTGCTGATTTGTTCTGTTTTTTATCCCCCTACAACTAAGGAAGAATGATTAATTTTTCAGTTGAGTTCTTTTGAATTCCATGAGAAGGATGCTTTGTGTACTGCATCCCAAGATAGAATCCCAGTTGAAGTTGTGGTGTCCTTGCACTCCACCTGGTGGAAATTCAATTCCAGGAGAGCGTATCACTGAAATTACGGTAATGCTGAAGGCCGACTTCAGAAGCCATATTCAAGCAATTGTGGAGAAACTTGCAGAGAATGTACTTAGAACCCAAAGGATGCTTTAGTTGGTGTTAATATCATTCTTTCAAGACTCCTTCCATCAGTGGTTCTCGACTCATTTCTTTAATAATAATTTGACATATTAACTCTGGAAGATAATCCAGGATTCAAAGGAAACTGTTGTTGAGTCGGATGTAGAAATCGAATGCGCCTTTGAAGGATCTCCTGATATATATAATAGAGAGCCTCCATTCTGTATTTGAACTTCATGTGTTCATAACCGTCTGTCGAAATTTTTGGGACCGGATGGGACAGGTACAACTAGCAAATATCTTCACATGCCTGACCTAAATTCATGAACACGTGTATATTTTTTGATACATGTATATAACATTGTTTCTATTCTCACAGGATGTTTTACACTTCATGGAAAACAGAAGAGAGAACATGTCCTGGTATAAGGGCCTAAGATTGCAATTTCGGTAAGCCTTCTTTGACAATGAAACATTCTAATATCAATTCCAATCCCTCGGATGAACTTGCCGTTTCCTTTTGATTTTGTGCAAGCCACTTGAAATATTTAATCTTTGCCTGAAGTTCAACAGCCTTGGTAGTTTTACATATTCATAGTGCCATTAAACTGCAGGTATTGGACGAAATCTTCGGGTCACAGATGCAGAAGTTGCTCGGAAATGCACTCCAGGAAAAGGATTTGGAGCCTCCTCCGTCTGTGATGGAGGTCCGTTCGATGTTTGCGAAGATTTTGTAAATTACGAGTAGGACAATCTTGGTTTTATTCTCATGTACAGATTTAGTGGTAAA